GACTATCAGTCTTCGACAACCGCTGTCTGCGCAACATCGCCCGCGTTTGATGGGAGCATCGCGTGAATAACGATGAGGTCAGATGACACGTGCCAGGATCCGATAGTATTTCGCTGAGCAAAATAATCTCACAGCATCGACTTGGGTGGCTAGGGCACGTCCTACGAATGCCTGAGGAATGTCTGCCACAGTGCACTATCCGCAGACATCGGCCCAGGCTGGAAGAAACAGCGAGGTGGGCAGGCTATGACGTGGCGCAGAGAGTCAAAGAGACTGTGCGCGGATCTGACTTACGTTGGGCTTTCCCGGCTGGGGCCCCAAAGATTCAAAGACTATCTGAATCTTTGGCTGCGGGATATGGCATCGAACGGAAGTCAGTGGCACGAATGCCTTCTCTCCCGTTTACAATCCCAAAAGTAAGCAAAAAACTCAAAATTGCGTGCTGTAAACAAAAAATGCTACTGCCCGAAGTTGACTGTTTTATTTTCCCTGCTTTTGAATCTACATTTTTTCGTTCATCTATGGTTATTTTGGCGTCGCATCTGTGAAAATTGGTTATATATATATATATATATATATATATATATATCAAACGANCCATTCTGTAAGACCGAAAGGCGTTCAAACATTTCCGCATGAATATATGTATGTGTAACGCTAGACCGGCATTTGCCAACTTCAAACAGCATTGGCGTCGTCTCGACATCCGGCTGTTCGTGAGGGTTCGAGTGTATGCGGCAGCATTTCGGCCAGTGCTGCTTTTTACCGGAACAAGGTAAATATAGTTTGTCGGTGTTCGAACACCACTGTTTGCGTCACATTACTCGAATCTTTTGGGAGAAACCGGGCAAGTAGTAGATAGGTTAAAGGAAGTTTTAGGTAATCGCGTTCGTCCACTGGGGCAAGTGGTGGTAGATTACGTTGATTGGGGCCTATGTTGTGTATGCCTCCAAGCAGATTGGCGCGCGATGTTTTCCGAGGCAGGTAACAAATGTAAAAAGGTCAACGACGGTCAAATTAAGACCTGGCATGAGGGTATGAAAGCCCTGACCAGGAGACTATCTTACACAGGTAGCGTTAGGTTCGCTGCCACCCAACTTTGTTGGTAGGTAGCTTTGCTGTCATCTGGTTTAATATTACGCCAAATCCAGAGGGGCCGCATGTGGTACGCAACTCCAAGCCACGGCTAAGGTTACCGGTTTCTATCACTGAATGGCAGGTCCTCGTGACTATCGGGTTCTGATGTTCATCACAGTAAACTGTTAAAAAAATATGTTTTTGGATAAAAGATCAGAGATGAAAAATGCTGCTGGATGGTTGCTCTATCTCCTCGTTTCGTTCGTTTAGGTCACTGAGAGAACTTTTCGGACTACCAAAAGTTCGTTAATTATGGCCGTCGGGATACATATTTACACGCAGGAGTAAACTACAAACTTTCAGCTTCCAAACTGCTCTTACTCATGAGCACAATACGAAGCATGTAGGACTTCCCCCAGAGACTGACGACTTCGAATTGGACGGAATCGCTTCGACAAAGTGATGACACCGCTACTATAGTCCTCTAATAAAACAAAGGGATTAGTAGGAGCTTTGATGAAAGATCCATGCCGTGCAACTTTTTGACAGGAAAACTCTTGCTAAGCGTTAATCTGCTGCAGTATCCCATCCAATTGCTGTCGTGCGCGCCCCAAGGAAAAGCAGGTAGACGCCCGCCTGGCTGATTATGAAACCGGAATTCACCTGGTTTCGGCTTAAAATAGAGATATGAAAGTCACACGAAGTGTGAAAACCACAAACCAGTAGGGGATCAGTGTTAAGTTTATTTGATGATTCTCGATTTAGGCGAGATCAAACGTCCGAGGTGCCCAATACACCTCGGTACCTAACCGAGCCATTGACCATTGACACAACCAAGGTGTGGGTGTAGTTCACATACATCTCGGTCGGTTTGATGTCAGGATTTTGGTCATGCCCCCAGGTAACCTGTAAATGTTTTATCAATGCGGCTCTCGCCCCAAATTATGACCTTTTGTCCTCTCATTTCTCTGAGGAGTTACCTTCGCTACTTGAATGCAGTGAGTAGAGTGTTCTCCACAAAGAGTAGCTGAGATGCCTGGCAGTATAGCAGCATTTTGGAAGATGCAAGGGAAAGGTGATCAGTCAAAATTTAATTCAGTCCTCGCTGGGTCTAATGAAGTTGTACATTTAATTTTTTAAAAATGTTTGCAACAACAAAAAACGTTAGATGAAGTGAATATACGAGTAAGACATACCTTTGCCATTGAATACAGCAATTTTTGGATTGTATTTCCGCATTTTTTCTAGCATAACGGCGGCTCCAGCCTTCATTTCTTTTCTGGTTAACTCCGCAGCACCTTTGGTAGGTCTTGTACAGACGTTTGTAAATCCGATACCATAATCCATCATTTTAGCATCATCGTAACACGAAACCGACATAGGGACTAATCCGGACTGGAACAAACAGGTCCAAAAGTGATTCCCCGGACCAGCATAATGATGTCCTACGTGTGCTGAGGCCAAACTGGGATTGATGCCAACCTAAAAGTGTAACATTGTGTTACTGAAACTTACGATAACGATATCAAGATTTTCTCTTAGATGATCAGGAAGCGTTTTGTCTTTTACATCTTCCTCCCTCAGGCCGTTGAATCTTTCCATATTAGTGGAGGAAAGAAAACCATCATGGGAAGGAGTATTGATACCCCCGTTGCTGAGAGACGTAGAGATGATTGGAGGAATATATTAGTTAACGAAATGTCGTGACATGAGCGTATTACGTCCAACAAAAACAGGGAAAAAAGCTATTGATAAAAAATGTTCCTTATCTCTCACCAGAATAAGTGCTTAATAAGCCAAGCAAATGAAGCACACTAGTATTGCATACCATTGGTGATGAGCAGCAGCAGTAAAAGCCATCTCACAGGCAGTGAATAGAGCTTCCTTAGCAGAGGCTGTTTGAAACGCTTTGTCGTACAGGATCACTTCGCTAGGTGCAAGCGTGACCAGTCAGCCCGGGACACCCACCCTCGACCATGCTGAGGCTTTCGGGAGACCAATCCGTATTCAATACCCCCACGCTCTGATTATATATCAGGCTACACCAACTGCCGAACGATCGTGCTGGTTAACTATCCGAACGAAATAGCTCCTAGGTTAGCTACTACTATACCAAAGACTATAGAACAACACAAGACAGCCATCCAAGAAACAGTACACTCAACCGACATATTCCCTCCTCTTATCCATTAACTCCCTTTCACTGAATACAGTCCCGCTTGGGCAAACATAAGCCATGCACTTTTGTGTGGCGGTTTTGGTTGCTATCTTTTGCCTGACTATTTGGATAAACATGTAGAAGGAAGAGTGGAATGTTGAAAGTAGCGCTAAGGTGAAAATAAAGAATTTATGAAGACTATGGTTGCAAGAACATTGTGTAGATGCACAAACGCCACTGTTTACGACACTCACTCAGGGTCTCTAACCATCGGTTACGTTGATCCTGAGGTCTCCATCCAGGAGGCCTAACGCGACCTATGTGAGCAAGTCTCCTGGTCAGGATTTTCATATCCTCATGCCACGTCCAAGTTTGACTACCCTTGATTTTTCTCCATCCATCATCTGCCTCGGCAAACAGCACACCCCGTAGCATATGTAATACGCCCCTAGAAGCGTAATCTATGAAAGTCAACCGCTTGCTCTTGTAGACGACCGCGACTGCCCAAAACTCTACGTCTATCCCCAAGGTTGCTAGTCTCGTTTCCCCACCAGACTCGTGCATTGCGGCATATGCAGTTCAGTTTGTAAAACCATTAACCACGCACTTTCGTGCGCCGGTTTTGGTTGCTGTCTTTTGGCAGTTTTGTTGGAACACCGATAATCTATCTTCATCTGGTTTTTGTAATGGTCAAGTTTCAGCGCCGTTTAGCGGAACTGACCGAACTGCTGCAACATTCACTCGACCCTTCACGGACAACAGGATGTCGCGACAGTGACACAGATGCCTGAAGTTGGTAAATGCCTGTCCAGCGTTCTGTACGCGAGTCGACACTTCGTTTGTGACGCGTCCGCTGGGGGAGATGTAGCTGTCCAAGTAAAAAATTGTCCACGTGCTCTATTAATTCCCTAGTCACTGTTGACTGGACGACTGTGACAAAATTTTACACTTTGAAAGTGCAAAACGCGTACCGAGCAGGACTACACTAACACTCAAACTCTCCTGAAAAGCTCGCTACTTACTCGGATCTTCACTTAGCCACTTGGAGCCCACCCTCGAGTCAGCGACTAACGCAGATACACCAGATCTCTATGAGCCACAACTGACGGAGTTGCATACAAAACTGCCTATCGTACCGGAGCACTACCCTCGAATCCGATCACGCGTTATTTCGCACCAAACGGTCCATACGCTTCAGTGGGCGTCCTACACGTAAGACACAGTGGTCAGATTGCGATAAGTTGTCTCAACCATCATGCTTCAATCAACAGCAACGTCTTGAACGCTAGGCGGAGCACTTCAGAGCACAGTTTAGCTGGTCGCCAGCGTCAGCTTCTCACACAGCTATATTGGCACAAGTCCTATGGTCTGTCTCAACAGACCCACCATCTGAGGAAATCTAAGCCTTGGGACGTCACAAGACGGCGGGCTCGGACAGCCTTCCCCCAGCTTTATTTAAAGGTGGTGAAATAAAGCTTGTTAGAGAACTTCAAATCGTGCTCTCTAAAGTTTGGAACACTGAGCAGGTCCCCTCCTCGTGGGAGGAGTCGATCGTCGTCCCTATCTTTGAAAAGGACCCGCGCGATCCCTGCGCCAATCATAGAGGTACAAGCCTGATGCCAATAGCGTTAAAGCTGTTAGCGTTCATCATTTTTCGTAGATTGTACAAAACTTGTGAGTAGCAGGCTGGGTTCCATGCCGGTCGTGGCTGCATCGATCAAATTTTCACCCTCCGACAGCTGCTTGAGCACCGTCATGCTTACCATAGACCAACGTTCATCGTGTTCTCAGACGTTCGCGCGGCCTTCGATTTGTTGATAGGACCGCACTACGGAACTGTTTGTTGAGGAATGGAGTACCAGAGAAGTGTGTCGATCCTCAGGTCGGGTTAGGGCATATGGCTAACTTTCGCCGTCTCCAGTGGAGTTCGAAAAATCTGCCCTATATCCCCATTATTTTCCAACTTCGCCAGAGATGTTCTGCAGGACGCTTTGTCCGGTTCAGCAATCGGTGGAGTTGAACTCCTCCAAGGGAACAGAGTTCTTGACTTGGAATATGCCTTGTTGGGTGACAGTGCACAGGCAGTCCAACAAGCTTTACACCACTTGGCGATAGAGGTATCCAGGTATGGTATGTGCTTTGCACCATCCAAGTGCAAAGTGCTTACGCAAGCCTGGAAGGATCTTGTGTCTGCACTCACTTGTCCTGGTGATCAGATCGAAATAGTCAAGAGCTTTAAGTGCCTCGGGAGCTTAATCACAACTGGTGTTTTTGTTGGCGAAGAGGTTATATCACAAATGGCGAAAGCTTGAGCAGCTTTTGCCAGCTTGCGACACTTGTGATGCCACTATGAAATCCGATTGCCTCTTAGGGGAAGGGTGTACATCGCCGCGGTTCGCAGTGTTCTGCTTTAGGGCTGCGAAACCTGGCCTCTCAGAACGGAGGGTGCTAAGCGACTTTCTGTATTCGACCATCGATGCCTTCGAAGCATTACCCGTTTCTGGTGGGAACATTGTGTGAGCAATGACGAAATCTTTTGTCGTGTGCCGGGTACTGGTAGTCGTTCTCTAACGGAAGAAACCGTTCTCGAACGCCTTTAACGACTCGGTCAGGTTTTGCGCATGCCTGTCCATTCACTACCTCGTGCTC